AGAATAGAGAGACTCAGTGAGCTAAAGGACTCTCAGTGTTATCTCAGTGGGTCTCAAACGTTTTGGTCACCATTAATGTAAACAATTATTTCCGAGGCCCCACGTTTATATGATCATTATAGTTATAAAACAATAAGAGAATAAATTAAAAACAGGTATGACATACTATATGACATTAAAAAAGAATAACGTTAAAAAGGGAGTGATTTGTAAAATATCCATAAAGAAAAAGTAAATCTGTTTACAGTTCTGTTTCAAATGGGTGTTGAGAGATGTATCCATAGATCTCTTTATTTTGCTCTCAAAGTGCACCAGATAGATGCTTTTAACTTCAATATTTAAAAATCTTCCCGGGGGAGCTTGCCCCCGGACCCCCCTATGTGAGGTCCACACACCACCTATAAAAATAGAACTTTAACCCTGCTTACACCTATATGCCGTGAGCTGATTATCGAGCCTTCATTGTAACAGTCGCGGGTACATTGTGTATTCGCGTGGGGATTGTTGCAGTAGAAAATTCCACTGTAGCGACCGGTACATTAATGAGAAACCCTAAATGTTTGAGCACCCTCTATGAAACGTCAAGCTACCCCACAGCACCCCCAAAATAAATCTCTGGCGCCGCCACTGAGCCTGACTATTTGTGTAGGGGGGGACCCGACTTTTTTTTTTCTCCAAAGGGGGGGGCCTGACAGAAAAAGTTTGAGAACCACTGGCCTAAACTAGCATTCATTTTGTTAATGCTATTTAATGCTAATTTTGTTAATTGTTAATACTGTTGAAACAGGCAGCATGTGTAGTGTTAGGTTTTTGACTTTGCAAATCCATTGGATCATCATTGGTCTCATTTCAGTCAAAGCAACATCCCAACCATAGACTTCAGGATAACCAATAGAAAAGTGGGATCCCAAGCCTTTAACCTTTGCATTTTTCGTTAATTACCTCAATAAAATCTGTCAGTTTTCACAGATCCCATCCAAAGCAGAAATAACAAAAGAAATCTCACAATTAAGGAAAGCACACATCCTATAAAAAGGTTTTAATTCTGAAAGGAGGACAAGATGACAAGAGCCAGGGGTACTAAATACAAATAATAGAGCAGTCCCACAGCATGTTGGAAGGGTGTCAACATAAAATTGCATATTAATTATTTTAGAAAAATTAAAGCATACTCCATGTCACATTAGATTGTTGTAGTCTTAAAACAAGACAATTTCATAGTCAGAAAAAAAAAAAGCAGGTTAAACAATGCTAAACACTTCCTTTAAGTTACTATATGGGACAAGACATTCTGTTAGGGCCTCTGATAGTTCACACAGCTGTGCAACTGTTCCACTAATAAGAGGCATTGGTAACAGTATGTTACTGTATGTTGGTTTTACTCTACACTCCATAAGCTCAGTGGGTCATGCACTTCAGAGACGATCACTGCACATGCAATCATTTCTCATATGGAATCTATTGTATGCTGCGGTAAACATCTTAAACCTGTTAACTCAAACCGTTACCCTGCTCAACAATTTAAAATGATGGACAACACAGGCTTCATCACAGTTAAGATAATACACTAACTGACAAATCAAGCTCATGAAACACACTCTTCAGAATGTACCAAACCAGTAAAAAGAAAACAAAAAAAGACTCAAGATTTAACAATTTGTACATTCTAAAGCTGAACCAGGTTGATGACAAACATCAAGAGTGAGTGGAAAAATTCAAAAGTGAGAAAGCCAGTCGTTTTCAGGACATCTGGGATGGAGACAGCTGGGCCTTCCTCATGGATCGTAGGGCTTTCTCTCTTAGGTGCTTCTCCAGGTCGGCCAAGCTGTCCTCTACTTCACTATCTGATTCCTAAACGGAAAACAGCATGAAATACACGCAACTCCACTAGCCACTTGGACACAAATACAGAATGTTGGTTATATCTGTCCCGTTGAGCAATAGGCCTGGAAAGCTAAAAAACAAAGAAACTAGACATCACCTTTCTTGACTCTCCGTCCTCCGCGCCGTGGTTTTCATGTGCATCACCGGTCACAGCACTACCACTCTTCTCCTTCTTATGCTTCTTGTGCTTCTTGTGTTTCTTCTCTTTCTTGTGTTTCTTTTCCTTCTTCTTTTTCTTCTTCTTTCCACTGCCATCAATATCAGAATTCTGCAATGAAACAGATTTTTAAGGTTAAAAGTATTTAAAGGTTAACAGTGCTACTAAAAACACTGCAAACGATAAGAAAGAGATAATGAGAGCTAATATAACCAGAGTACACATCGTAAGGTATTTGCATACTTAATAATAATTCAACCTTCTCCAATAAGAACTAAAACACATTTGATAGTTGTTTTTTTTACTAAATGCAATCGTCCTTGAGTAAACTTAGAAAAAATACCCATAATATTCAAGACTCAAGTTATAAACCAGAAATATATGTATATATATGCGCAGCCAAACAGACAACCATATAAGTAAATAAGCTAAAATGTCAAACCTTGCTTGGGGATTGGCTGCCAGAACCACTGCTGGCTTTCTTTGCTGGTGGTGGAGACCCACTGGCAGAGCGGGAGGGGGAGGGGGAGGCAGATGCAGGGGCGGGACGTTTCAGAGCTGCTGGTTGAGGGGAAACAGATCTGGAGGCTGCTCTCCTCATGGGCTGGGGGCTCGGAGAGGGTCTTGGGAGAAGAAAAAAAAGGGAAGATTTAAAAAGGGTCGCAGGGCCATGCATAATACATGCTATATAGTACAAAGAGATAGAACAGCAGTATTTTGAATAAATAAATAAATATTGAAATATAAAGTCAATGTTACCTCTTGTTGTTCCGTGGCTCTGGGGTGCGGGACACTCGGCGGATGGGTTTTCCGCTGTGTGTCGGGGACTGCTGCCTCCGCGGGTTAGATGGAGATGCACTGGAGTTTTCAAAACGTCCCTGAGGACTGGTGGAACCCCGAACAGGGCGACCGCGGGTTGCAGGGGGCGGGGAGAGGCGGCCAGCTGCTGCCACAGGGGATCGTGGGTCCCTGTTTAGTCTAGCAGAAGGCAACATGGGGCTCCTCCTGTGTCTGGGTGGAGATGAGGATGGAGACATGCGTCTCCTTTGAGGAGGGGAGTTTCTGCGCTTGGGGGACCTGGAGGGGCGGCGCTTGGCACCTGGAGAAGAGCGCTTTGGGGGAGAGCTAGACATTTTCCTCTTCTGTGGGGGCAAAGGTGAGGGGCTGTAGCGACGCTGGATAGGGGGAGAATATCGTCTGGGGGATGGAGAACGACGACGGGGAGGCGGGGAAGGGGACCTGGGTAGTAACAAATGTAATTGTTACACTTTTGTTTTTATCCGTAAAAATAATTTGACAAATGAAAGCTCTAGATATGATATAAAGCTGCACATACCTTCGTCTAGGAGGAGAAGGAGATCTGCGACGTCGTGGGGGAGACGGGGATCGCCGTCTGCGTGGAGGAGATGGAGAGCGTCTTTTCCTGAAGGAGTACAAACACAAACAAAATGTTATACATGTGGATAACGCTGAACATGGGCAACTTAAAAACATTTGATTCAACAATAAGTTAAAACATTTTGATAAAAATGTACAAAAACGTTGTCTAACCTTGGGGAGGCATCTCTGTGTCTCCTCCGTGGTGACGGTGTTCGGCTGCGTCTCCTCCTCACATCCCCGTTTTTGGCTCCCGGCCCTGCTGTCGGCCTCTTGGGCCCCTCGTTTTCAGAGGAGGAAGATCCTGAATCTAAAACCAAACAGACAAAGGACATCAGCAACTGTTTAATTGTAGCCATAACTGTATGAAGTGAGGAAAAAAAACACTAAGGTTGGGGTTAAGGGCACGGCTTCAAAAGTCCATGAGACGATGAGTGCAAGATGACATGGACAGAGACTTTGTCAGATGGGGCTTTCACACCAACGCGGTTCTAGGGCCGGTTTGGAGCTAGAGCCTGAAAAGCACCGTTTTTTCCTGTTCACACCGCAGCGGGATCTCCGCTCCGGAATCCGGTTTTTTTTCAAGCACCGAAAATGTTTCGGTCTTGAAGCAAGAACCGCATACGTCACGCTTACGTCGGAGGGGGGCGAGATTAACCTGAGCTAACAGTTAAAGGCAAGTAAGGCAAAAAAAAGTTGTAACAAGCAGTAGTGCTGAGCAAAGTGACTAGAACGCAACCACACACACTTGTAAAAAAAAAAACACACTTTATAAAGTCAGGCAACACTAACCAGGCTTCGTGTGATTCTGTTTATTTGTACCTTACTTTGACCATCCGTTCACTGTTATTGATCATTG